AACAAGTGTTAACAAGGTCTTCAGAAGTAAAACTTTAAATGTACTATAGTTTCTTTATATAAACACACTAGGGATGGACGGGATTGAAATTTTAGTTCGGGACGGGACGGGATTTTTATTTCCTTCCCGATTTTCGGGACGGGATGGGACAGAATTTTTTTCTGTGCATAAAAAAAAGTACTGTATTGCAGTTACCAAAAAAGACATACAAAATCAATTTTTACCATTTGTGGCACTGATCTATAAAAACCAAAAATGGGTAACAATTTACAGGTACCTATAGAAACTTGTGACTCGCGGGTCACGGGGTGATCGTCTGTAGAACTCACGGTCACGGCGCAATCGTCGTCATGACTCGCGGTCACGGGGTTATCGTCGGTATGACTCCACGGTCACGGCGCGATCGTCGGTATGACTCCGCGGTCACGGGGTTATCGTCGGTATGACTCCACGGTCACGATGCGATCGTCGTCATGACTTGCGGTCACGGCGCGATCGTCGGTATGACTCGCGGTCACGGCGCGATCGTCGGTAGGACTCCGCGGTCACGGGGTTATCGTCGGTATGACTCTGCGGTCACGGCGCGATCGTCGGTAGGACTCCGCGGTCACGGGGTTATCGTCGGTATGACTCCACGGTCACGGCGCGATCGTCGGTATGACTCCGCGGTCACGGGGTTATCGTCGGTATGACTCCACGGTCACGGTGCGATCGTCGTCATGACTCGCGGTCACGGCGCGATCGTCGGTATGACTCCGTGGTCACGGTGCGATCGTCGTCATGACTCGCGGTCACGGCTCGATCGTCAGCATGACTCCGCCATCACGGCATGATCGTCAGTATGACTCCGCCATCACGGCGCGATCGTCGGTATGACTCCGCGGTCACGGCGCGGTCGTCGGTAGGACTCTGCGGTCACGGCGCGATCGTCGGTAGGACTCCGCGGTCACGGCGCGATCGTCGGTATGACTCGCGGTCACGGCGCGATCGTCGGTAGGACTCCGCGGTCACGTCGTGATCGTCGGTATGACTCGCCATCATGGCATGATCGTCAGTATGACTCCGCGGTAACAGCGCGATCGTCAGTAGGACTCCGCGGTCACGGCGCGATCGTCGGTATGACTCGCGGTCACGGCGTGATCGTCGGTATGACTCGCGGTCACTGCGTGATCGTCGGTATGACTCGTGGTCACAGCGTGATGGTCGGTAGGACTTCGCGGTCACGGCGCGATCGTCGTTATGACTCCGCGGTCACTGCGTTACTGTTGGTATGATTCCGCGGTCACAGCCCGATGGTCGTTATGACTCGCGGTCACGGTGCGATCGTCGGTCCAATAATCGCGGCCACGGCGCGATCGTCGTTATGACTCCGTAAATGTGTCCGCAGGCCCGCGTTTCTCGGCGTTTCGTGTCCGCGACAATGTCGCAGCGTCGCTCGTTGTTCTGCTTTGGGGCCAATAAGCTACTATTTAAGTAAGAAACCCACATATAAAACATACTCCCTTATATTAGTACATTTCTCATCCTTATGGATCAGCTGAAGACAGTATTATTGTTAGTTCTGTCCGGTGCACTGTCTTTAGAGGTCGTGTTTTGTTTACAATTGTTTCTTGTTTTCAGTAATTTAAAACCTCGTTTAACCAAATAAAACGTTCTAATCATAACTAATAACACGTCCCCAAGTTATATAACCAAACAGCAAAGAACAAATCATGAAGTTGACTATAAAATAAAATAAACACAATTTTGTCGACACTAGCGATCAGTGTCACCGGACATGAACTAGACACGAAAAACGAGCTTCAAAGTTTACAATGGGATGTAAAGTTTACTTGTGTTGGTTAGTCTATGGTAAGACTATAATGCATTTTCCACCCTAATAATCATAAGAATAATGTTAAACATACTTCTAAATATATTTATTTTATCGACTACGTTGCTCTTACTCCTAATTAATCGTAGGATACGACATTATGGTACCGATACGATATAGGTACTACACTTTGGGCAACACTGGCCAAAAATATTCGTGCCTGGCTCCCATTGGACGGCCCGCGAGGCTTCTGATTGGGAGTTAGCGAGTTCCGCCGAGGGACCGAGTTAGCGACTTCCGTACGAGGACGGAATTCGCTAACCCGGCTCTAGAGCGGGTTAGCGGGTTCCGGAGTTAGCCAATTCCGAAACCGAACAAGTTAGCGAGTTCCTCTCATCGACCAAATTTGAAGATAGGGCGTTTAACATGGGGTTAGCGAGTTCCAGAGTTAGCCAATTCCGCGGACCCGTTTCTTCCCCAATGTAGTTTGCAGAGCTAAAAACTACAGAACCCCGTTATCAGACACACATAACTAAGTTTACACACAGACGTAGGTGATATTTTTTTCACTTTAAGCGTTGATACAATTTTTCTCAGCGTAGCATTAACATACCAACATTGGACGCATGAGGTCATTAAAAGGCGTGTGTAGCTATACAATTTTATAGTCAGGAACCAACAGGCATATGTTTCGGTATTATCGCCATTGCCTGTGTTTTTTTAGTTTTTTTTTAGTAGGGTCTATATAAAACACTGCATAAAATATTCCTCCGCCAGTGACCGCCTTGCCCACTGGCCCGCGTAGGCGTGAACACATCACAACGCGATCAGCTGATAACTAATAGACTTGTCGAAAACGCTCTACTTTCATAAAAACTGATAACATCATGATTTCTACACTTCATACGAAATAGAGAGTTTTGAATGAGAGGGAGTTATTAATTATATATAGACCTAGGTCTACAATTGCATTGATATTATTTGAATTTAATGCAAACGTGTAAATTTTGACTTAAAATTTGTAAACAAGTAAACAAAATAAATGTGGAATTAACTAGCCTATATTGCTAACAAGACGAAAAACTAAATTATACAATTAAGAATTAACAAGTTCACAAAAGTAATATTGTTGTATTACCTTATATTACTTCAACTAAATTATTGTAGCACAGAATGAAGGTAGAGTCTGTCCCTGGCTATTCTTTGTTCGGTGGAACTGAGACAGACAAAATAGTCTAGACGTCATTTAAATTTCGTTCTGATGTAGGCCTACACAATTTTCTTATAATCGTCGTTTAAGTAACTGATGGCTTTAAATCCCCAAGACGATATACAATTATCAAGTCAGCCACAATAAAACTCGTACCTAGCCTACCTATATTAAATAATGCTCGAATAGTAATTATCTACGATCAAGAACTTTGCTAACATTCGTATAGCAAAATAAACGCTCCCTAATTGACAATAATTGTGAACGTTGTTTTGATGTGGGATTTATTTTAAATAAGTTACTACGGTAAACGGTAGGCATACTCTGTTGTAATTCAAACCTTCGAGAAGAGAAGAAACTTCGAAAGCTGATTGGATATTTGCATTGTTGAATTGTAGTAAGCGGATCGATTTATTTTATAGGCCTTAGTTCAAAGTCGCAGGCTGGACAGCTAGAGCCAAGTCACCGAGTCAGATGCTGCGCAGTGCGCACTCCGCAGGGCGCAGACCGTTACCTAAATGCCATCTGATTGTCGACCAGTGTTGCCAACCTCTGCAGGCGGCAATTTCACCGACAGTAGGAACATGTTGTGAAGTTTCTAGCCACTTTCACTGGTACATATCGAAACGAATTGAGTGGGTGGAGTGGACTGATCGAGCACACCCAGATAAGATTTGCCTGACCAACAACTGCGTTTGGCATTTGGCAAACGTATCCTCCTAAATACAAAAGGCTGCAAGGTTCGCAAAAAGTAATTGAGAAAAAGTGTAGAAGTTGATAAAAAGGGGACATTAGCACTACGCAGGTTTTTAAGTGCCTTCCACGGTAAGGATAGCGACGACGCTTCGTAGATACGAACGTCCGGTTTCCTTATCACCTACTTCCGGAGTTCACTTTGTCTTTGCAGTCAAGTTGAATGCATTTATAGTTTGCTATCCCTAAACTAAATAGTCACTCTCCAGAACAAGTTAATATATGTTTTCAGGCGCATTTAAAGCTTTTATTTAGTTTAAGTACAGGCAAGGGAAGTCACGTATTCCCTCTGTGGTGTAAGTGAAAAAATGTTAATTTTATTAGCTTAAGTAATGATTTCGATCCAAACCAACAAATATTCCCTGCTCTTAAAAACTTCTTTTGGTATACAAATTAAATTGTTTACCGTTATCTGTGGTAAGGACAAATAATGAACCTTCTCTTGGAGCTAACTTATTCATTCTCCATAGGAGTTTTAACCAACACCTGACATGAAACGATAACAAAGTAAATGCAATTGTACTGTAGGCTATAACTAATTCAATGAAGTATGTAAAAACTGTTTTATGACACTTTTTTACATTGGGTTGTCTCAGTTTGAATGAATTACAAAGATTTCAATTTTTTTCTGTCGATTTATATTGGTGTTACTGCAGTATAAGTTAAGAAAATGTAAACCTGTTAATTCTTTAGACAGATAATGTCATAGAAACAAACAAAACCAGCATTCTGGACTCTCTGGTGTGCAAGATAATAGGGGTATTCCCAGCCCTGTTGGCCCTACTACAGTCAGTAGTTGAGGGCATTTACCACAAGTAAAATGAATAGCCAAGATCTTATTGTTGGTTTGTTTACAACGTTTATGAAACAACGGTAAAAACTGTAGGTCTAGTACCCTCTGCGCTTTTTAAAGATTCCAAAGGTAATTGACATAACGCTGGTTTTGGTTTTGTCTTTGATATCACTAGAAAACTTTGAAGACAATAATGGGGAGCTTAAGGGAAATTGCTATCTTACATTGTTTTTTACAAGATATAACTTAACCTCCAAAATAGGCCTACTAGCTTACAATAACAATACATTAAAATATATAAAGAAGATCTAAATGAAGATGATAAATTACTTTAATTGAGTCTTATACCTAATTAGTTTGAACACTTATGTGCAATACTTTATTTTGTATCGAGCATGACGTAAGTATAAAGTACAAATTTAGTTTCTTACCTTGATCAGCAACAGAACAAATAATCCCAAAAGTGAACATAACCAAAACACAATAACAAACACCAAAAACACTTGTCCGAAAACGACCCATCGTCGCTACACATTATTTAACTGGGTTGTCGAATTAGACCACATAATATACTGTGCACTAATAAATCAAACGGAACAAAATTTCCACAATTGTCACACCATTCTGTCACGAAAAAGACAGACGATAACTTTGTAATCACCGAAACACACACTCACTCGCTCGCCTCCGACTGTTGAATTCAGAATTGTTGTGATTCTGAGAAATAAGAGGGGAGAGGCAGTCGGCGGAGAAAGAAAGCCGACATCCCCCTCGTTTCATTGTACACTACGAACGTTGCACACATTAGTGCTACCTATTGGCGCTAGTTATAAACTACTACTACTAGCTCAGCGGCATCAAAACTGGGAAACATATCAGCTGTTCACAAAGAGGAACAAACGGTACAAACATTCTCAACGGTGATATCGTTGATTAATTGTCTTCCCAAATGGAGATGTATAATCAATCTTGATTTTAAGTAAATGTAAATAAATAATAAATATAGATTACCTTAAATTATTGAGTTATTGAGATCTCACTGGAATTTAAAAATTTTTAAACGTTTGCCCATTACTAAACAAACCTTTACCCTACCGAGTCTGAAAAATATGTCAAACAAATATAGGTTCCCGTTTTCCTGATTTATTTTCCTTAAAAGGTCAGCGAAAAAGTGGAATTTGTGAACAATTTGAGTTTGTGCTCTTACTGATTACTACAATCATAGATAAAACATACTCCCTAGTAGATTTCTCATCCGTATGGAACAGCTGAAGACAATTTTATTGTTAGTTCTGTACGGTTTTCTGTAGAGGTCGTGTTTTGTTTACAATTTGTTTCCCGTTATTAAAGCCATTTAAAACCTCGTTTAACCAAATAATACGATCTAATCATAAACAATAACTTGTCCCCTAGTTATATAACCAAACAGTAAAGCAAAAATCAAGAAATTACCCCTAAAATAATAGAAACAAAGTTTCGTCGACACTAGCGCCCATGTGTCACGTACATGAACTAGACACGAAAAACGTGCTTCAAAATTTACAATGGGATGAAAAGTCTACTTGTGTTGGTTAGTCTATGCTACAATGTTAAGTTAACAGAAAGGTTCACATTTTAGTATATGAAAGTGTAATAAATATGCCTTAAAAAAGTTTACCACAGGTTATACAATGGGTTATAAGCATCTTTTTCAGTTGTAATATTTTTTTATAGAGTTAATTATAGAATTTAAGAAAACGTTAAAGCTATGATAACTAGTTCCACAATTTATCTGGGTTTCCTTTTTTCAATTGGATCATAGGAACAGTAAATAAAAAATAAATAAAATATAAAATTGAAATTTGGGTTGGACTGGAATAATAAATATAGCCTAGAGTTGTCTTCGTAACTGTTTAATCATTTATTTTGCATAAACATGCCAAGTCATCCCACCACTTTAGGTGGCCGTAGATACTACTGTATTTGTTTCGTACAAATAGTTGGTCAACCTGGAATCGATTCTTCGTCCTTCTCCTTGTTTTGATTGTCAAATTCTTCTTGTTTGTTGCTGTTTGATCCAATCCAATCCAATCCACTTGTTTTCCTGGGAGGTTATGTTTTATTCATATTAATAATAATTATTGAAACTTAATTAAGTTATTGTCTATTAAGCAGTATAAAAAGTTGTGTTTCGTACTCCTGACAGATTTCTTACGATGCCTAAAGTCAGGCGTAGCAAGAAAGCTCCTCCAGAAGGTTGGGAGTTGATTGAACCTACTCTTGAGGAGCTTGAGCAAAAGATGAGGGAGGGTAAAGCTTCTATTTAACTACTGTAGTTTTAACCTAATTATTCACAATCCTATATCATAAGTAAAGGCCAAACCACAAGTCTTTAAGTCCAGTGATTTTGTTACGTTATTTCCATTCGATCAATGTAGGCCTAGGCCTAGAGCCTAATAGGCCTAACTTATTTAGGTCTAGGCCTAGAATCTATTTAGACGGTACTTACTAAAACATATTAATTGTACTCCCAACAGTTTATAATTTTGATTTAGGAAAAGGTCCAACGATTACCGGTAATTAAGATTAGCTATACAAAGTAGGCTACCGGATACTTATTTGTATAGACTTATAGGTACAGTAGAGTCCCGCAAACTCGGTGTAATGTGGACTGGAAGGGTGCCAAGTTTGTGAAATGCCGGGTTATTGGGAACTAGGGTTAAAAATAAGAACAATATACAGTTTTAAAGCTTTTTAACCGCCTTTTTAAATTTATATTTATATTACAAGTCATTGTCAAGTCACCAGATATAATACAACATACCCTTGGTACGAGTTGTGAATGATTTGACTTGAGCTGGCTTGAGTCCATGTTTAACTAAGACTCTAAAAATCACTAATTATCTGAGCCAGGTGATGGCCAAGTTATCCAGACTGCTGGGTTATCGAGTGCCGAGTTTGCGGGACTCTACTGTACCTGTTAAGTTGCATTAAATAATTTTTCATGATAAGTAATGTCTCAGTAAGAAGGCCTATGCAGTACAGGATCTTCATAGGCTACATTATTTTACACGCTGCATCCGGAAATGCCATAAGTTAGACCTAAATTTTAGTTGAAAACTGCCTTATTTAATGAGTCTGTTAGTCAAAATCAAAGTTGACAAACAGCATTTAATTGAGTGGTTCCGATGCCAATATACAAAATATTCCTGCTTTTATTTCTCAACTAGGGTTTCATATTCAGTCCCAGACTCCCTCTTATCCGGAAACCTTTAAACCGGACTACACTCAGTAGAAGTGACATCTCTTTATCCGGACAATTTTTATCAGCTCATCGGTTTAACCAGAATAGATTGTCAGGAAGTGGGCGGTACTAAAGGACTATTCTTGTGGAAAAGATTTGAGACCAGTTATGTGTCTAGATAGGCCTACAATGCCCTCCTAAATTTAAGTCAAATACTGTATACAGTATGCATTTAAACGGTCTGTTTTAATGAATTTTTGGGGACATTGGTTTAACGGGAAAAACTGTTAGGCGTATCAGGACTGGCCTCGGTCCCGAGGAGTCCGGATAAGAGGGAGTCTACTGTAGTAGCCTAATATTATTAATTCACAGTAACTTGTTATTGTTACTTAGTACTTAGGCATGCCTGGCCTATTATTTATGACCTATTTATTGTAACTGGTCAACCATTATTATTTCAGAAAAGTCTAGCCTTCAGGAAATAACTTAAGTTTTTACATGTGTATAGATAAAAAAACTAAATTTTTAAAGCAAAACATGAACTTTCCTAAATGACCTAGGCTATGTCCAGCCTCACGGTTACATTACTTATTTATACAGAACATTCCGTTACTTGAATTTCCATAAGTTTTTTAAACATATAGCTGATAGGTGTGTTAGTCTCCATATTCTACTCAACAATTTTTCTTCCAACCAATTTCCTCACTCATCTTTTTATTACAGCTGAAACCGAACCTCATGAAGGCAAAAGGAAAGTGGAATCTCTATGGCCCATATTCAAGATTCATCATCAAAAATCTAGATATATATATGATCTATTTTATCGCCGAAAGGCCATAAGTAGAGGTAAGTTATTATTTGGGTAACATTGTTAGCTCAAATCACCCAATTTATAATAGTAGCACAGGCCTTACTAGCCTATTTACTGCTTTCAGCCATTCTCCTCCAAAAAAACAAAACTTACAATATCAACTTAGTCGCTAAAAATGCCTCTTCTGATAGTCGCTTCCCTGAAGAGTGGTACTACAGCTGCAAAACTAATATCTTACTAGCAACTACACTGTATGTTTTTGGAATTTTTTATTTGCATTGTTACCAAAACTAGATGTAACACACCAAAAACCTGTTAATGTCTTTTTAGCACATCCTTCATTATGTATCTGTTTTCAGAACTGTATGAGTACTGTTTGAACGAGAACATAGCCGACAAAAACCTAATTGCAAAATGGAAGAAGCAGGGCTATGAGAACTTGTGCTGCCTCAGGTGCATTCAAGCCAGGGATACCAACTTTGGGACGTCCTGCATTTGCCGTGTCCCCAAGGCCAAACTTGAAGAGGTTAGTTTTACGATTTTAATCTTACTCAGTTTGTTTGGTGGAAGATTTGGAATAAGCTAGGCAGATTACTAATCAATATAATAAAAGCAAAAAGCTAATAAGTGTATTATCCCTCGGCGTAAATAAAGTGCTATGGTCTGTATGATGAAACCTGCTCCTGACCTGGGAACTGGTTAATGGCCAGAGGGTCAGGAGGTATTAATCATCAATTAGTTGAGATGGGGACGCCACCGAGTTGTGTATTTTATTTTAGCCTAGGTACAGTAAGACGCTCATTAATTCAGCAAGTTTGGGACTTCTCTGAATTACTGAATGTCTTCTAAACACAGCCGTTATTGCAAGACAAGCGAAATACCGCTAATATTAGCACTTTTCAGGATTGCCCCTAAGACTCTGGTGTACAAAGCAAACACACCATAGTGACTTCTTTTACTCTTATTCCCATACAAAATAGTCTATTTGCAAAAATTATTGTTTTGTCAACATTTTCAAATTTGAGTTGTACATCAGTATAATGGCCTTGGATATTGACCGTTTTGGATCCTGCTGAACGAGAAAAGTGGTTTTTAAACGATATGATGTCTGTGTGTATGGATGTATTAGCTACCAAGTCCACCTATGGTCCGATTTTGATGAAATTTGTTATGTGGATACTTAACCATAGTAGTACCAGGCAATTTTTCATTTTTTTTTTAATTTTAACTTTTAATGATGACAAGTTTTTCATAATCCCATAAAATAAAAAAAAACCCGATTTTTACAAAAATTGCTCAACACTTTTGATAAAATTTAGTAGAGCCCTTTAATCATGAAAACAATTTTAACAATCCCAAATGCTGTAAAAATTCTGGTTCTAAAGTTAATAACAATTTCTTTAAAAAAATATATGGGTTGTTGGAGACGTAGGAATTGGCTAACTCAGGAACTCGCTAACTTGGTCGTGTGTCGGAACTGGCTAACTCTGGAACTGGCTAACCGTCTCAATTAGGAATTGGCTAACTCCGGAACCTGCTAACTCGATTTTGTCTCGTGGATGAATTCACTAACTCTGGAAGTCGCTAACCCGGCCGCGCCCACTGCACGGAACGTTGCCAACCTTGTACGACAAAATAATCGTACACTGCCGTATTTCAAAATGCCTGGAGAAAAACTCTTGACTTTTAAAAAAATAGGCCTACTGAAAGACGTAAAATTAATATTAATTCAACAAAATTAAGAGGATGACCCGGGTTCTACACGATAATAGCCTATGATAAAAGAAATTTGCAAGCTGTATTTATGCATAGACTCTTTTTTAATGCAATCCATGAATACATTTTAAGCCTACTACTTTATAATGTATTGATAAATATTTATTTAAATTCAATAGCTCTATTTAAAAATACATTACAATGTAATTTTGTAATGACGTTTAACGCGTAAATTTTATTATGATTTATGATTCATGGTTACAAGCCCAGTATATAAAATGCGAACTCAATAATTTTATTTGCAGAAGTTCACAAAATGGTATTTATTCGAATAAAAGAAACAAATGGCGGACTACAAAAATAGATATTTCATAACATGTAATTGATCCAAATTAAATGTGCATTTTTATCTTTTTGCATACCAAAAAGCTACTATTTAAGTAAGAAACCCACATATAACACATACTCCCTTATATTAGTACACTAGCAGAGTACCCGTCCTTCGTACGGGGTTGGCATATAAGTGTAAAATGTTTATTGCAGTCATACTCAAGATTTGTGTTTGCAATGGGGGACGACACAGTTTGATAAAATTTGGTTTTTGAAGTTTACGGTATGCTATAGTATAACACATTTACCATAGCCATAATGCTCTACTACTGCCCCTAAACAATAGAAAACAAATGATCAAACCTTTGCACAATATCACAAATGATTCATTAAATGGTCATATAGGCCTAAAAATAACTGTAAACAATCCTACTTTGATAGTTCTCATTGTGTATCACAGCTTTTGTTGCTGCTTAGTTCAATTAGCTATTGTCAAAAATTCAAACAAAAAATGGCCTAATCGTGTTGTACCCTGTTGGTAAACCTTATAACGTTTTAATGCTATTGCATATCATAGAACCAACTTGTTTAGTTGAAACAGCGGACTAAATTCTTTAATTCCTTTTAAATGTGAATACTCATAAGGTTAACATAGGGATCCATAGAGCCACTGGAGCGGAGCCCGGAAGGATTTTTGAGATAAGAATAGGCTTATATGTTAATCGGGAATGTGAGCTATCATTATGCCAAATTTCAGCCCAATCCGTCCAGTAGTTAAAGCGTGATTGAACTTCAAACAAACAAACACACAAACTTTCACATTTATAATATGAGTATGATTTCTCATCCTTATGGATCAGCTGAAGACAGTTTTATTGTTAGTTCTGTCCGGTGCACTGTCCTTAGAGGTCGTGTTTTGTTTACAATTGTTTGTTTTCAGTCATTAAAAACTTCGTTTAACCAAATAAAACGTTCTAATCACAACTAATAACACGTCCCCTAGTTATATAACCAAACAGTAAAGAACAAATCATGAAGTTAACTATCAAATAATAGAAACACAATTTCGTCGACACTAGCGATTAGTGTCACCGGACATGTACTAGACACGAAAAACGAGCTTCAAAGTTTACAATGGGATGTAAAGTTTACTTGTGTTGGTTAGTCTATGGTAAGACTATAATGCATTTTCCACCCTAATAATCATAAGAATAATCTTATGATTATTTTTATTTTTAACTACCCATATGTTATATTCTTTAAAATTTATAATTGTAAACATAAACATAACCTTCAGTTTTGTGATGTGTCTGATGATGCCAGCATAGCTGGCGAAAGGCCTCATAAAAATTAAAAATTCAGATATATTGGCAAAGTTATTATTTCAAATTAGTATCATAAGAATAATGTTAAACATACTTCCAAATATATTTATTTTATCGACTACGTTGCACTTACTCCTAATTAATCGTAGGATACGACATTATGGTACCGATACGATATAGGTACTACACTTTCGGCAACACTGGCCAAAAATATTCGTGCTTGGCTCCCATTGGACGGCCCGCGAGGCTTCTGATTGGGAGTTAGCGAGTTCCGCCGAGGGACCGAGTTAGCGACTTCCGTACGAGGACGGAATTCGCTAACCCGGCTCTAGAGCGGGTTCCGGAGTTAGCCAATTCCGAAACCGAACAAGTTAGCGAGTTCCTCTCATCGACCAAATTTGAAGATAGGGCGTTTAACATGGGGTTAGCGAGTTCCAGAGTTAGCCAATTCCGCGGACCCGGTTGTTGACAAACTAATAATAGAAAGTATGTGTCAGGTTGCTGATACCGTTTATTTACGTATCAAATTTTTTTCTTCAGGGACGCATCGTGGAATGCATTCACTGCGGTTGCCGTGGATGTTCAGGTTGAACCCAAGACTTCAAGATATTTTGTAATGTATATTAAATTACTTATCACTGTATATTTTAACCTAATTTAGTGGTAATAAATGTTTTTTATGTATTATTTTGGTTTTCATTCCTCTGTGTACACTAGTTTTTTTTAATTATTACTTAATGGGAAAGCGTCAAGGTTCTCCCTATATTTTTTTACTAAAGGTTCTAAGACATCATGCCCTGTAAGCACAAGCTCGAGTGAGAAGGGGCAGAGGGGTCGCTGGAATAATTTTTTCTGGTGATATATTGGCCTAATATGACTTTGCTCAAAAATGCTGGAATGATAACAGTGTAACATTATTATGCAATTTTGAAAGGAAAAAGAATAAAAGAACAAGAATTGTCTTTGTAATCCTTTAATTTATTAACTGTAAGTAAACTATTATTAGTCCTTACAACTAAATATATATTGAAGTACTATTTACAGGCATTAAATGATCTTAATCCGACATTTTATTTCATAAATTAAATACACCACTGAAATAATTTGATGGTAAAAACACCATTCAAGGACAAAAGTTCTTAAAAAGGTGGAATAGACAAAATTTTAAATTCAAAACAAAGGCGATTGATAACAAATTTAGTTTCTTGACAAACAGCCATTAACAAAATGTTAGTACAATAGAAAATAATTGTTGTGACAAAAGTTCATGAGTGACACAAAAGGTGTAAACAGATCTTATAAAATTCCTCTATAAGAAAAAAATAACTGCCCACTTGAATTAAGTTGAATTGAAAAAGTGTAAATGCAAAAATATCAAATCAATTTAATAACTTATTTTTACCACACAAATGGTTGGATCATTCCACTACTAAGATATGAGGTGGCGATGCACCATCTGCTCTTTGTTGATGAGATGGGTCGTGTGGTTGACAAGTGACATCAGAGAGTCGAGTCCACTAGCCCAGTCGTCCAACACGTCACTCGGGTCCTTGATGGTGCGGAAACTGACCACTCCGGCCGGCCGGTCGATCTTGGCCGTCACCGTCTTGTTGACCACCATCTCACTGAGAAACTCCTCAGTTTCCTGAACAACAAGTACACAAATGTTATTTGGACAATTTAACAGGTTAAGCTAAAACTATCAATCATCAAACTATTGCCGCAAGTTAGTTGGTTACACACCTCGTTCGGCAGATCCAACAACTCTGACATCCGCTTCAGTGTAATCCGGGTGTAGTACTTGGACATTACTCGGATGTTCTGAAAAAATTACAAGGTGTGAGCTAATGTCTATTATGTAGGCAAATCTTGGTGGATGATGACTATAACTTACATTTAGGCACTGATCAGAGTCTAAGATACAGGCATAAAAAAAAAATTGTCTCTAATTTGTGACAAAATGATTTTAAGTCATGCTTTATAAACCCCTAAGGTTGAGTTATCGATCACTTCACTGGCTACTGGAAAATGTACACAAGAAATAATTGATACCAGCACTTAATTGGTGGGTAAATATTTTCTTTGGATTTACGTCCATATACTAGTATCAAATGTTTCAATGACAATGAAATACAGTAGGGAGGGGGCCTACCAAAAACCACCCATTTGGTACTAGTTTAGGGGACTGAGGGACCCTGACAAACTCTCAAACTGACTGGACTACTTGAGGTCGCTAATCTGGTGAGTGATTTATTTACTATTCATTTGTGCAAAATAATGTGATAAGCTACATTTCAATTGAACTTTTTAGTTTTTTATGACTTTTGAACTCGGGGAAAACTGTTATTGGACAAAGGCCTAATAGGACAGTACTCAACGACTGCAGATTTCCCGGTCTGTCTGAGGATATGTTTGTAAGGATCGCTTAGTTCTCTAGTGTACTGTGTATAATTAGCGACAATAGGAAGCAAATCAATTAACCCAGAAAGCCAAATTACGACTTACTATCCACCAACTACTTCCTTCTACTCACATGTTCGACCACCCGACTCCGCAGGTCCTTCCAGCGCTTACGACCGTCCTCGTTGTTTGCAAACACCTCAGTCGCCTTCACTGTGGCCGAGCCTTGCTTCAATTCTTTCTCGTAAACCTCACACAAGCCCGACCACTTGATCAACTCCGGGTTAATGAACAGACGGAGTAACTCCCTGACAAAGGACAGAACAATTACACAATTAATTTTTTCATTTAAAAAAAATGTAGCCATATTATCTAGGTAAATGATAGTTTTTTATGCTAACACTAATAACTGTTTAATAGTTTATTTAATGATAACTATTTATTTATTTAACTAATACCAGCACAGAATAGTTATAAATTGGCAGAAATCAAATCCTGGTTACAGATCGAAATCTATAGATGAAGAAGTTGAAGAAAATGGTTTTGTATTCTACAATGAGATAGTTTTTAATATAGGCTACCTGTAATTGAATTTTATTTTATTGAATTGAATTTTAACATGCACAATAGGTAGTCTTTACTGTACAGCATTGTGGTTGTATAGAAAACCAATAGAATGCATAATAACTTGACTATGAAGTAATTTGTAGAGAGTAAATAACATTTTTATTAGAAAAACTAATAAACAAAACTAGCACCAAGTGTAGAAACAACTGGTACCAATTAAAATAGTGTGCTCCCTTACATTACTCGGAGGAACAACTTGTGTGTGTTTTTAACGTGAAACATTTATCACATTCTCAACTAGGCCTACTCACTTGTACGATGGGATCTCTTCCATGACCTTGTCCTCTAGAACACGATGTGTCAAGTCGCTCTGTTCATTGTCATACGGCGCCAACACCAGGTACAGCACGGCATTCTGCGCGACTGTCTTGCGCAGCTCTGCGTCCGCTTGCACACTGGGCGTAGCGGCCACTGCACGGTAGTGTTTACACGTTGCAAGATAAAACCCTTGGTGACAGTCCAGCTCGATCATCAACCTACACACAAACAGATGTTCAGTATCACCTGTGTTGGAACAGATATTTAGTATCACATTCATTTTCACTTACTGGTATGTGTTGGTTACTGTCTGGCTCCAGGAAGTACATTGATTGCATCAACTTTAACTCTGCAAAATCGAGTCTTGTGTTGTGACATTGAAGCACTAGGGTAGGTTAGGTACTAATCTCTACATATGTTAAGGCGAAGATGAGCAAGATTTGTTACTGATTAAGATCAGCTGTTACTTTAGCCACGGCAATTTATATAACCAAGGACAGCTTGGTCCAGTTTCGATCCATTGAACAGATTCTAACTATACTCAAAATCTAACCGGCAACATTATGATTATTGAGGGAGCACTGCATCTACTCAGATATATGTTTGACAAGTCATGTGTACAGCAGAAGATGTGTACATTACCACCAGTGGTCACTTCTTATAAAAGACAAAGTAAACTAATTTTATTACACACATTTTGAAATTCTTATTAAAAATTTAACACCAGGACCAGACAATAAATGTCTTATCTCAACTATATTAGCATTAGCACACCAAGAAATCAGTGGTGGGGTTCAAAATGGTCTGAGAGACTATTTTGAGAAAAAATCACAGTGATTACTCATGCATCAAGACAGGTCAAACATACTTACTTGTAATACTTCAGTTTCAGATCAGATGTAGTCTCATCTTCAAAAAACTTTGTGTTAATCTTCTTTGAGATGATTTGAGTTCTAATATAATCACTCTTGGCCAAACACAGTCGCATCTGCTCTAAGATCAGCTCCACCTGAAGATAAAATTGAGAATATTTTATATTTTATTATATTATTATATAACAGCCCATCCTGAACAGGTATGACCGGAAAAAGCCGTGTCCCGTCAGAAATTGGGTGAGGTAGAAGTCCACCTCTCCGTACCGCCGATCAACCCAAGGTTGGACTTGCTGTATCAGTCGCCTGGTCCAGAGTCCCCGTGTCTCCTGTTCCCAGCCCTCCTGCCACAGCTGGTAGGTGCGGGTGCGTTCCTCTGTTCGTGCCTCGTCCTCCCCACGGCGCCGGTAAATTGCCTTTCTCTCCGCCGCCAAAAGTTTGACGGGGATGACTCCAGCAATCACCAGGACGGCGGGCTCGGACACTGTTCGGTAGGCAGATGCTACCCTCAGTGCTGCCTGACGCTGCACTCGGGCGAGCCGCATCCTGTATGCCTCCTTATTTAGTGCGTCTGCCCACACCTCCGCACCGTACAAGAGTACGGACTGGACCGAAGACATTAACAGCCTTCTACGACTGGACCGAGGCCCTCCGACATTGGCCATCAACCGGCTAAGAGAAGAAACCACCCTAGCGGCCTTGTCCGCTGTACGGAAGATCTGATCCCGCCAGCTAAGCTTGCTGTCAACCATGACCCCAAGATACTTGGCAGAACGAACAGTTTGAACCTCGACGGCTCCCACCCTCAACGCCCGGCACGATGGTGTCAATCCGTTTTTTTGTCAAAATCACGATCTCGGTTTTGCTCAGAGCTTGCGAGAGACCGTGGTCTGCCATCCATGCGTTAATGGTACGCATAACTCGGTTTAGCTTTAGCTGAGCCAGCTCAACGCTACGTGCAGCTATCAAAGCTGCAACGTCGTCTGCGTACCCAACCAAGACTGTTTCCTCAGGCATTTCAGACCTCAGAAGGCTGTCATAAGCGACGTTCCAGAGGTCTGGGCCGAGTATGGAACCTTGGGCAGCACCAGAAGTGACACTCATCGTCCGCGGGCCCTCCGCAGTGTCATACGTTAGGAGGCGAAACCGGAGATAATCCTCTATGATGCGCATGAGGTATGCCGGCACGTGGAAGGTGTTCTCCAGAGCATCCAGCATATCGCACCACCTCGCCGAATTAAATGCATTTTGCACATCGAGCGTTACGAGCAGCACAACCCTGCGAGAGTAGTGGGTAAAATCCTCAGCTCTCATCACGGCTTGCTTCACCTCCTCAATCGCATCAATCGTTGATCGTCCCATCCTGAATCCATACTGACGAGGGGAGAGGTCCCCCGCAGCGACAACGGCTGAATTTAGCCGGGAACGGATCAATTTCTCGAGGACTTTTCCAGCCGTATCCAACATACACAGAGGTCTGTAAGAGGATGGCAGATCTGGGTCTCCCTTGCCCTTCCCAACAAGCACAAG